CTAACGAGACGGCGATCATAGCAGCGCCAACTCCTTTAGCAATGGGAGCGCAGTTCCATATGGTTAGGGGTCCGGTGCCCCCGAACTGACCGAAAGCCAATTCCATGAAATACATGGGCTTTCCCGCAAGAGTTAGCATTATTAGGTAGGGAATGAGAAAAGCACCACCACCTTTGCAGTGGACAATTTTAGTAATTCATTTTCATCACGCGTAATATTGTAAATGTCAAATAACATACCATTCTGATAGGCCAAGTATGGGAATCTATTTATTTGTATATGAAATATTATATATAATTTAATAAATATAAATTAAATTTGTACAAACCTCCAAACATTGCCGATTCCGACACTTAATCCAACACAACTCAATAAAAATTCTTAATAAATAAATATTTAAAATAAATATAAATCTTTAAAATAAGATATATGAGAATATGATACTGGTGCAAACTGACCCCATTTGTTACCCCATCCGCCCCTAGATTTAACACTCGATGTGGTGGACACTCTTCGGGGGATTTGTCGGATTGAAGCCCTCGATCGTCTGTCGGATGTATTCCTCTGAAACGGCGATTCTTTGACACCATTCTTAATATTTTGGCCATTAATTGACCCATTCGTGTGATTCGTGCCTTCATTTGTCATTTCTTTTCCATTCATTAAATCTTATATATATTTCATATGAAACACAAATTGTTTGAAGAATATTAGTAAACTAGTGATTAAAAAACAATTTGAATACTAATTAAACATAAGCAAAATAATTCTTTTAGTTTTATTATAGTATTAAATATTCACAAAACGTAATGGCACTGAAAACAGGTATAAACGTGAGTTTTTATAATTTGATCTTTGTTTCTAAAAACTTTTTTTTAAATAATAAAGTTTTAGCAAAATTTTTAAATTTATTCCACAAATCACTGGTTTGACACTTAACTATAACGTTAAATTTAACTAAATTTTAAGGTTTATAGTGAATAATATATTTTGTTATTTAAAAAAGTCTACAAAAGAAAATGTGTTCAAATATGAAACGTTGACATTAGTTTGACTTCATATTAATTGTTC